TTCTTGAATGCATCAGGTTTGCTTCTTCCAATCTCTTCAACAGCTCTTGCTAGACTTTGGGTTGGGGTGGGATGTAATGGGGAAAACCACAGGAAAATCTAGTTATTTACATGTCAAAAGTTGTCTTCTAGAACATTGGTCTAGTTGATAGATTTCTTTATATCAATCTTTTTCCCACCTCAAGATGTACAGGACACTCCCGGGTCAGCTGACTAGAAATTATGCAGTATCAAATTCTATAAACTTAAAATGGAATCAATTTGGGGAGGATAACATTTCCTAGAATTGACGTCTTAAAATGGAGAAAACTGAATTTTTGAATTGAGAAATTTGGTAATCAAGAACAATGATTTCTTCTTTGATAAGAACAAGGATGTTGACTTTAATAACTATCTAAATATGCAAGGTGACTCATATAATTCCTTGTTTTCCTAGAAAAATATTGGACTTCTAGCAGTTTTCAGTGCAAATTGTTGATTATTGAATTTACAAATGAGGTGTTATTTTATGAATTCAAACAGTGCCCTCTTTTGGTACTTTATAATAATGCCAAAGAAATTATTCAGTTTTAAATGCAGTTGAATGTAATATAATCATTAATATGGTAAAATTTAGGAAAAAACATGCTAAATTACTAAGAGTTCATACTAATCCAGTTCCAAAATGCAGTGTAATATTAACTTGTCCTGTTAGAGAAAGGACTTTCCTTAGCATAGAACTATCCTATCTACAGTATACGTGAAATACAGAACCAATAAATAACTCTTTCTTTTGTGTTCATCTGTTTGCATCTTTACGATCCAGATATAGCAATGTCATATTAGCAGAATGAACAAAGAAGTTTTCTTCCTTACATTTGCGCTTTCAAAATCTGCTTTGCAGGTATGGGGATGTCCTGCAGTAGATTAGGATGGAAGCACAATGGGGTGTGATGGACAGGAAAGGAAAATTCAGTTGTAAATATTGGATTCTACTCATCTTGGATATTACTCAGAATTAGAATTCAAACAAACTCAAATAGTCTTATAGACCCAAATTGATTTCTCAGTCTTGAAAAATGAAGAAAAATGAATGGGAAATAATATCTCTTGATAAAAAAATACCTAAACTTTGGAACAATAACGAGAAGCTGAATAAATGTAAAAGATGGTCCAGAATTAACCTACCAGCCATGATTGTGCTTATGCCCCATTGAAATCAACTGACTTCAATATGGTTGGCTGCAGGTGTATAAAGAATTAAACCTTAATTATAACTCTCTTGAAGCCAAAATAATTTAACGGACTGGTAAGTATTAATCATAATACCAATAATTATTATCTGTTAATTGCCCTTGGGTTCAATTTATAGTATTTATAACTATAGAAGGCCAATAAATTCCTGATATACCTGGCACAGTGTTAAGAATAAGGAACTGCAGAAAATAGGACAATAGATCAGTTCCATGTTTTCATAGAAAACTAATCATCTACACTTTCATTTACTGCTTAATAATAAATTAATTTTAAAACTTCAACACAAATGCATTTTTATCTGTTGTAATGCTTTGTGGCATTAGGGTGGTATTTCTCACATAGTTCAAAAACATTATTTGAAAAACAAGTTACCTATCTGACAGGCATAAATAAATAAGCAAAATGATCTTTTTAGAAGAGATTTCCAGGCAGTGGTGAAATGTAAAATTTGTTACTACCGGTTCTGTGGGCGTGGCTTGGTGGTGGTGGGGGTAATGTGACTGGGTGGACGTGGCCAACTTTTTTTTTTTTTTACTTTTAAAAGCATTTTTTCTACAACCTTAAGAGGTTGCAGAAAAAAAATGCTTTTAAAAGCCTTTGACGATCAGGCAACTCAGCTGGGATCGTCAGAGGCTTTTAAAAGCATTTTTTCTACAACTTCTTCTGCTGAAGAGGTTGTAGAAAAAATGCTTTTAAAAGTAAAAAGAAAAAAGCCTCTGATGATTGTGCGGCTCAGCTGGGCATGGGGGGGGGCAGGGATTTTTGCTACCGGTTCTCCGAACCACCCGCCACCATTGTTACCTGATCGAGCAATCCGGTCCGAACCGGGAGCATTTCGCCCCTGTTTCCAGGCTGCGTTTCAACTGACATACAGTATGCAACATGACTAACCATGACAAATATAAGAAAATAAATTCAGTCCAGCAACTAATGCTAACCCCACCAGCAACATGGAAATTTGATAAAAGCAGAAGTAAAAAGAAAAAGCTTTAATAAAAGGACCCATTCAACAAATGGATAGAAGCTCTAGGTATTCATGGCCCAGTCAGGAACATTCCAAAATCCAAAATCAAATGATTGAAAATGGCCCATTGCTCTTTGCTTCTGATGACAACCTCTTGACTTCCAAAGTCCAAAATGAAATTATGAAATTATTTTATGAATGCCAAATTATTGCTTCATTAAATCAATTATCGACTATTCCAACTTTTCAAATGATCAGTTATCTGGCATTTAATCTAACATCTTCATACTAGTTGGCCATGTTCTCTATCACTCTGTCACAACAAGAACCTCTTCTTAATTTAATAAACTATATAAATAAATAATACAAATAAAATATTCTTTATTCCTTCTTAAGTACAGTAACTCATCAGAACTATGATGATATTATCATTATCATGGTAGAAGAAGAGCAGGTTTGATGCAGATAATGCTTTACAATGCCTACTTAAACATTCTATCGGCTTTTCAAATTGAGATGAACAGAAATCTAGAGCATAAAATGCTGGCCACCACAATAGTTGAAGAAAAGCTCTATAACGTTTACTTATAAATGTGACAGTATTAAATGACACTAGAGTAGCTTAAAAGGAACTGGAAAGGAGTGTTTAATATTTGGACTGAACAATTGAATTACAGAGACTATGGACTAAACCAGCAACATTTTTCCTCATAATTATTGCAACATTAGGAACTATAACAATTGAATTGTAAAAACAGCTGATAAAGTTGAACTTATTTGACCTCCTTTACAAAAAAACAAGAACCACACACACATATATTATGGTGATATTTGGACAATTCTTAGGCTTTGGGATAAAGCTTGACTTGACCCTAAATTATCAGGGCAGTGTTTTTCAGAAGAGAAGAAATCATCAACATCATCCTTTATTTGCAGTCTGGCTTGGTTAACAATTAATCTAAGTATTTTTAAAAAGCTCCTGCATTTAGCCTTTGAAATGCTGATTCTACTTCCTTTCACAAAAATCTTTTCCTCAACTTTGTAGGTGTGTGAATAGGATCATTTCATTATTTAAAGCTAAGACTCTGAATTTGGCGGCTGTTTAGTTTGTGAAGTAAATTTGAAGAAGCCATTTCTGGTGATTTAACTACTGATCAAACTGATTAAAGCTTTCGGTTCTGGTGGGATCTTTTCTGCCAGTAGCTATTTTTCTTAGGAACACCAAAACTTGAGTTTTTTCTCCCTTCACTCTTCAATGTCCAGTTGCTGTGTTTTATGACCCTAGCTGTGGTATTACAGTTTAGGTTGATTTATATAGAAGCTCTCTCTGTATATAATAGATTAATGAATCTGGAGTAGCAAGGCTACTGCCAGAAGACTTCTGAATAGCATACACACACTTCCCTGTTTTATTGGCACACTTGATATGAAAGATCAAGTGATTAGCCAGTGTGAGAAAATAATTTTTATTGTCCGCTTAGTTGATTATGCCAAAAAATTATTTTCTATATTGTTAATGATTTACCTGAGACAGAATGATTTTCTTTGTGGACAGATATAAGAACACATTCCAAATGTAATTGTTAATAATCAATGCTTTTATTGCTGCACACCATCATTTTCAACATGTGATGGATTGAATCACATGGGTTGATTGTGTTTTACTTGACTGCCTCTCTGTAGTTTTATAATCAGTGAGATTTTTCCAGGACTATTTGTACTGAAAAGTTGTACGACATTTAAATGGTGTTACATAGGAAAGTTGCTTCTTTTCATTTTGTGGTCTTGCATTTTTGATATTTACTTCTTTTTAATTTTTTTAATGTAGTTTATTATTTATTTATTTAATTAATTAATTAATTAATTAATTAATTTATATACCGCCCTTCTCCCGAAGGGACTCAGGGCGGTGTACAGCCAGCATAAAACCCACAAATATAAAATTTAAAAACAGTCTAAAAATATTAAATAGTTTGGCCCATAATTAAAATAAACAACTCAATTTAAATAATTTAAGAAGAATAAAATTTAAAAAATTAGCCCAGCCCAGCTTGTTGAAATAAGAGCATCTTGAGGGCCCAGCGGAAGGTGCGCAAGTCGGGAATCCTCCGCATCTCGGGGAGCAATTCGTTCCAAAGGGCAGGAGCCCCCACGGAGAAGGTTCTCCCCTTGGGGGTCGCCAGCTGACATTGCTTGGCCGACGGCACCCAGAGGAGCCCCTCTCTGTGGGAGCAAGTTGGCCGGTGGGAGGCTATTGGTAGCAGCAGGCGGTCTTGTAAATATCCGGGTCCTAAGCCACGGAGCGCTCTAAAGGTGGTAACCAATACCTTGAATCGCACCCGAAGGACCACCGGAAGCCAGTGCAGCTCGCGCAGGAGAGGTGTTACATGGGAACGCCATGACGTTCCCATAACCACCTGCGCGGCCACATTCTGGACCAGTTGGAGCCTCCGAGTGCTCTTCAGGGGGAGCCCCATGTAGAGACCATTACAATAGTCCAGGCAGGAAGTGACGAGGGCATGAGTGACCGTGCGTAGGGAGTCCCGATCCAGAAAGGGACGTAACTGGTGGACCAGGCGAACCTGATAGAAATCCCCCCTGGCCACGGCAGTCACTATGGAGTTGAGGTCTCCATAGTCCATTATAACACAGGATTGAACAAAAACAGGAATCACACACATTTTCATATTGGCAATGTCAAGTAATAAAAATGGTTGATACATCTGATTTTTTTAAAAAATTGGCATGCAAGTACAAGTTTATTGCTATCAGTGACCTTGGGTTCTTTTCTTTCTTGATAGGTAGATATGAAACTGCTGGTGCAAAACTCTTGAAATCTTATCAGAAATTAAGGTAAGGACAAGAAGGTTGACGTGTCCTACAGACGTTTGATGCAGTACTAAGTGCGTATTATCCCGTGCAAGAAGCCTGTTTAAGCTTTTACTGGTAGCGAGTGTTGATAGAGTACACATTTTGTTGCCATGGACTCTTTTTAGATACAGAACTTGTGCAACTTCAGCCATAGCAGCATTTCACAACTTGGCCTCATTCAGATATATAAGACTTGCAATTCTTGGAATTTGTAAGTCCAACTTTAGAAAGAAAGAAAGTCGTCTTTGGCAAAGTGATTCATGAAATCTCCATGTCCAAATATTTACCTGGGGAAATTGTTTGTTTTCCTTGTGTTACCTTTCAAGCCATCAAAAACACTACCTTTTATCTCAGTGTTGCAGTCTAGCCAAGTACCTCAGTGTGGCTCTGTAATTATGGCTTTAACTATAGCCACAACCCACAACCCCTAGAACATTGGTGGTAGGGGAAGGGTAAAGGGACGTCTCTTTAACACTGTGGCCCTTGACCCTGATACTGTAAACTGTTCTTACAAAGTTGGTAAAAGGGATTAAGTTGTAAAGTTTTGTTTCGGTTCCACTGAAAAAGTTAAAGGTTAAAAAGCTTAAAAATAAATACCAAGGCTAACAGGAATGCAACTGACAGACCACAAATAGTATTACCTCTTGAATGTTGAAGGGAAATTGGGGAGTCAGCAAACTATTCAATCAAATATTTAGTTTCAATCCTGATATCCTTTCCTACAGTTATTTAAGAGTCATTTTAATATGAATTGAAATGCAAATGTTACCATTTAAATGTAATGTCATATTTTACACACATAAAACAAGCACGTTTAAAATGAGATTTCTGTGGCATTTCATACATTGTCCTAATGTTTCAATCACAGACATGATCTAAGTGACAAATGTCCTAATTCCATGTCCCAAAGGTGGTTTTTCAAGAGGCTCTGAGCTGAAGAAGCTTCTTGGATGAGAAACAAAACGTCTTCAAAAAACCCCCCCAGAAAGTCCAGTTGCCTCTTGAAAAAGCACTTTTGGGACAACCATGACCTGGATGACTGAGAATCTCCATAGACATTCTAATTCCATGTTTCAATCACAGATATGATCTAAGTGACAAACACCTCCCCCACCCCACCCCCGAATCTTTAAATATTCTTTGTAGGCTATATATATTACTTATCGTGAGTCTAGGTTTACACAGGGCAGAATTTTAAGCATTTCTTATGGGTCTTAATTCTGAATGATCAAGTTATGTTGTACTCAAGTATAGTCACATTATGGGAAGCTGTGAGAAGAAATGTTGATCCACCCATGAGTAGATAAACATTTGGACTGATGGACAGATGAACTTATTCCAAAGTGAGGTTCCAGGTTCCTATAAATCTTAGGTCAATCTTAGCTTATTTCTCATATCAAGAAGTAGTTCTTGCTCTTTGTTTGAACTAGGAAGTTACTGTAGGCTGAGAAGATTTATCTCCTAAATTTTACCTTTATTTCATTTTCTTAGTTCTTCCTAAGAAAATCTTCACAATCCTTTGCAGTCTTTTAAGTTTCAGATGGAGATTTTAATGTATTTAATAGCTTGATACTTGGTTTCTGAAGTTAGTTGTTAATGTTAATAATACAAAATATCATACATGCACAATGAAGAGAAAGCAGTGTATTTTGTATAGGTAGTCTTCAATTTATGACCATAACGAAGCCCCAAAATTCCATTGTTAAGCAAGGCAGTTGTTAAATGAGTTTTATCTCATTTTATAACCTTTCTTGCCACAATTGTTAAGTGAATCACTGCAGTTGTTAAGTTAGTAACATGGTTGTTAGGTGAATCTGGCTTCCTCATTAACTTTGCTTGTCTGAAGGTCATAAAAGGGGATCACATGAACACTGCAACTATCGTAAACGTGAACCAGTTGCCAAGGGTCCAAATTTTGATCATGTGACCATGGGGATGGAATATTGGGTGGAATACGTTGGAAATTCCTGAATTCTAAAATTGGGGATAAATAATGAAATGTGAAGGAGACAATTCTGGAAATGTAGCAGATATATTTGCCAATTGCTTTGTTTATGATCTTTTTTCCTTAAAACTCTTAGCAAGGTATCGGTGATTCCTCCAACTCCTCCACCTTTTGCTGACTCCATCAATAGAACAAGTGCATTGGTAATGTATCACTCTGCATTTCTGTTTTACTCGGAAAGCTTTCAGCTATCATTGATTTTATACTTAATGTGTTTTCTTTTATCTTATATGTCTTTTTGTCTGGTAGTCTCCAGAAACGGATTTCTATGCACGTTTAATTTTTTTTCCAGCCTAAAGTAGTAGACATACCTATTAATTTTATCAGGGGTGGGTTCTACTTACCTTTACTACTGGTTCACAACAGGACCGGGCTTCTGCGCATGCGAAGATCACCCATGATGATGTCATGGTGGGTGGGCGGAGCCTCCCTCCAATTTTACTACCAGTTCTATAGAACCGGACCGAACCGGGAGCAATCCACCACTGATTTGTATAATCATCCATTTATTAACTATTAAGTATGAAATAGGGAAGAGACTAGATTTAAAGAACAAAAATAGATAGGAGTGTCCTCTCTCTTCATGCTGTTCATTTTTCTGCCATACTTCCAATGTTAACCATGATCAGGTGAAGAAAGTGAATGTATCTGAGAAGGAGGCTGCAGTAGCAGATAGAGGTCCACTATCACTTGGAATACACCTGAAATGCTACATTGAACATTGAATACAGCTGTAATATAGAAACTATTTTCTTGTCCACTAGTGAGTTCCTATTCGATGTTCGGCTCGCCCTTCATTTCATTTCAATACTGTAGACATTTGTTTACATTTCTTCTTGTCTGGAACAATAACCATGCTATAGTCATTTTCTGTAGCAATTTCTTCCTTAATTTGGAAAGGAATTAATTTTGGTTGCCTTTTGTTTAGTCTGAGCTTCCTCTGCAACACTCAGGGATATTACAGTATAGTCTTTCCTATTACAAAATAGAAATATTCATGATTTATTCATCTGTCTCATCTTCGTGATAAATTTAATTTAGTTAAATGAGGATGGCAAAGTTATTTAGTCTGCATTACTTCTCTTCAATTTCCCAAGATTAGTTAACAGTACATACTCTGCAACCAGTTTTTGTTTTCTGAATATAACGCAAGGAGCAATATTTGAAATTCCCATGAGCTAACCTTGAGTCACGCCAATTATCATGATTGATTACTTATTATTTGTGTTGGGTAAATTTTGCCTTTTGTTGTAATTGGGGAGTTTTGATTCCTGTTTTAAGCCTTGCATGCCAAATAAAAATAAGTGTCTCATTTTGAAAGTGGCTAAATATTTCATTTGAGTTAAAATGGGTTTAAAAATTTTAATGAAGAGAATAGTGATTAATTTTTTCAAGGAACGTAAGAATGTGATTGAAGTAAAGAAAACTAGAAAGCCGATGGTATGTACTGTGATAGAATTTATTGCTTTAGAACTCTTACATTGAATCATATTTCCTATTTAAGTATTTTCAAAAATGAAATATAAAATAATTATAATAATCAGTTACCAGATCTGAGTTGCAAAAATCCAGATGATCATTAGATGGCAGCAAAGTGACAAAAATGTAGTGGTTATTTGTTTTTTTGCAATCCAGACTGGGATGTTGGTTGATTTATAAAATTACTATGGTAAACACTGTGTTCTTTTAAATTGCAAAGGACCAGACAGCATTTGCTTTTTGGCATAAAAGCTGGCTGGGTGACTTTGGGCCATTTGCTGTCTTTCAAACCAATTTACCTCACAGGAATATTGTATGAAAAATAGGAGGAGGAAGGAGTATTAAATAAATTTGTCACCTTGAGTTGGCCAAAATATTTAAAAGGTAGGCTAAAAATATAATAGTAACAAATATAAACATGTATCATCTCTTAAATGCTTTGACACAGGAATTATAGCTCTGTTTGCAAGCTTGGACCTGTGCTTCCTTGACAGTTTCAAAGAGGTTATATAATCCAGGAAACCTTGAGAAGGTAGCTCCATTCTATTTATTTCTTCTTGTCTCTTTGTCTTTCAGGAATTTAATCCAGGTTTCCACAAGTCTATGGAAAACCTTTTTCTGACTTTTACCACACATATCAAAAGTAAGGGTCTTTACTATTCTGAAATAAGATGTTGTATTAAAAGGATAGGTCTAGTCATTTGGTAGCTAGAAGAATAGTACTGTATTTTACTATTTATCTTTTGGCTTTTGGGGAGTTAAAGAAAGAGATTCCCAACCAGTATCAAAGGTGCATCTGACTGAATCTTAGAATCTGGATTGGAACTTCAAGTATTGTAGTTTACGATAAGGCTTCTCATCCCCAATGCCATTCTTCAAAATAATAACTTCTCATCTGACAATTCCCTTCTGAGGCAGAATCTAAGGTGGCCATGACACAGTGGTGGGTTTCAAAATTTTTTACTACCGCTTCTGTGAGTGTGGCTTGGTGGGCGTGGCATGGCTTGGTGGGCGTGGCATGGCTTGGTGGGCATGGCAGGGGAAGAATACTGTAAAATCTCCATTCCCTCCCCACTCCAGTGGAAAGATACTGTAAAATCTCCATTCCCTCCCCACTCCAGGGGAAGATTACTGCAAAATCCCCATTTCCTCCCGATCAGCTGGGACTCGGGAGGCAGAGAATAGATGGGGGCGGGGCCAGTCAGAGGTGTATTTACCGGTTCTCTGAACTACTAAAAATTTCCGCTACCAGTTCTCCAGAGCTGGTCAGAACCTGCTGAAACCATCTCTGCCATGACACTGGATTAAAGTGTTTCATCATTCATTAACAACGTGTATTAGTAAGTTCTAGTGAGGTTAATGAGATTTCTTAGTTATGCCACTTCTGATTGTAGTTACAGCTTGTGGGACTGTATTATTTACCATGCTCCAAAAATATGAGATGTTTTTGAAGAATTATTCTTACATCATTTGAAAGAGTTCTGCATACTCTTATCAAGCTGATACAAATTAAAGTCACTCTTAATTTCTGCCCTTTGTGACAATATTAATCAAAATGGTCAATATATTCTTAGATTTTCCAGTGTTGCAACATTGATTGATTGAAAATTTATATGGCTGCTCAACTCACTCTCAGTGACTCCGGGTGGCTTACCACAATACAAACCCAATAAAAACAACAGCAAAAACCAACAACCCCATCCTCACATCCTGGCGACAGCAATCAAATGAATCATTTGATGGGCTCCATCCTGGCATCCCCAGACCCGTTGGCAAAACCCAGGCCTTGCAAAATAGTGTCAAAGTGGGGGCAAATCTTATCTCCATGGCATTGATAATCTTGAGACATTTTATGCAATAAAAAAAATCACATATAATTTGCACCTATGGTTATTTGAGAAATAATTGGAACGAGGATTCCCCCCCCCTTATCATCAAGTTTATTGTTAAGTCAGATGTGGAGCCACACAAGAGAAAATAAACAGCAAACTATGAAGTGTTTGTTATATTCTTGCTCTCAGTCTCTCCATTTGTAACTCAGTCTCCATTCTGTGCCAATGTAAACTGCAGTTCTACAGTATACACTGTATACTGTATAAATAAACTGACTAGGAGAGGCATTCCTTTGAATTCATACTACTCCCTTGAAACTGTGCTATAGATATTGTGATAACAGTAGACTTATGTTTCAAAACAGGATGTAATAGAATAAAAATTGATCCTGTACTTCTGGGCTAGATACCTACTGAAACTGTTACTCTAATTTAGACCTACTTATAGGCTGTACTTCCTAGGAGGAGCTGACTGGATGTGGTTTTTTTAAAAAATTATTATATGGATATTGTAGACTGTGTTGTGGGCCTGCTTTCCAAATTAAAGTATAATCCCATTAACCCTGGGATACCTCTAAAGCAGGGTTTTTCAATATGTCTTCTATGAAGCACTAAGCTTCTACAAGAACTGAGATTCCATGAGAGACTTTTCCATGGGCAAAAAAAAAGTTTGTTCAAATATATCCATTTTTCTGTTATAAGAGCTTTATCTCTTGATCCAAGATCATTTGGAAAGATGACTGATCCAAGGTCACTCAGCTAGCTTTGTGGCTAAGGTGGAACTAGAATTCCCAGTCTCCAGCTTCTACCCTGATGCCTTAACCACTACACCAAACCTGCTCTCTAATCTAAGCTATAGTATTATATAATTGATATATTTTAACAGGTCTGTTTTAGTTTCATAAAATGCAAACAAGAATATACTTCAAATGCTGCCAGCTCAGCCTTGCAAATATTATAACAATTATAAATTTTAGACTTACAATTATGAACATACCGAATTGACTTTTTTAATTCTCTGACTTTTTTCCCCTCTAGAAATCTCAAAATCACAGAATGATGTGGCCAATGAGAAATACCTTCTCACAGCAAATTATGGGCCAGATAACGATCCAGTGAAGGATAGGAGAAGCCTATCCGATACAGCTATTGATATTTCAACGAGGGTACGGTACTGTTGAACGATATTAACTATGCAATATATTAATGGAATGTTGGGTATTCTGTACTTGAATCATGATCAGATTTGATGAGAAAACGCAACAAGTTCTGTGAACTGAATAAATTATGCAAAGTATGGAGGTTTACAGTATATAATAGCTGTAATCACATTAGTGTATACTTTGGAAACCATAGTTTATTTATTCTCCTCCCCTATTATAGATAGGAAGGGGAAACATTCACATGGAGTTTCCATATCTACAATGTCTCCATTAACCTCCATGGATTCACTTGCAATCCATTGCCAAGTATGGCAGTGAATGGAGTAGCTGGCCTCCTTTTTAAACTCTTCACTTTGCTGTGCATTGTTATAATTACCAACGGGCTCACATTATTGAATCATTCCAATTTAAACACTGACTGCATCATTCAGCATCTCAGAAGCCCCCATGTGTTGATTTTATGAAGACAAGTAGCATTTATATTATTGTCCCTCCTTTTTTTTTAAACAAAGAAATCTTCAAGTATCAATGGAGAACAAGATGACAGTAGAATTGCTTGCATAAAAGCATCAAGTGAAGAAGTCATATGCTCCACAGTTACAAATGATGGCTTAATTTGTGGAGATAAAAAACGTGTAAGTAGTGATCCTGTTTGTCCTGTTTCTATTACTATGCACAGAAAATATAGGTTTTTAATGCTTGGCAGTATTAACTATCTTCACAAAGAAATACCAAATAATTCTCAAGAATATGTACAACTTCAGAAAACATCTATTTCAGAGAAAGAAATAATGATATAAAGTTAAATATTTATTTATCTCTTTATAATGGGCCTTTAAAAATTTTTGGATAGCAGAGCAGAATACCACTTCAGATGAATTGTGTGGGAAATCTTATCTTTCTTCTTCAGATATTAAGCTTTATTCTAATTTGGATTGGACAAGTAATAAATGGCAGTAAAGAGATGCAAAAAATCCCCTTCTAACTCAGTGTTTTTCAACCTTGATGTTAGGCCCCAGCCCTGACAGTGAGATCCAACTGAATCCAATCCTTTATTTACTTATACATAATTGACAGAATCTTGCCAAATGAAAGCTATATCTTTCTGACCTACTAGATACCGTCTATCTTGAACAATTTTAGGGTGAGGCTACCCCTAACCTCTTCCTCATCTCTATCCCTAACCCCTAATCTCATCCTCCATCTCGGGACTGCATAGTCTCTTCGTCTGGACCTCTTTCTGGGAAAGCTCTGTGTTGCCAAAAGCCTCCCCCACTGCTCCTGCAAGTGTACATTCCATCACAACTTGGTTACTTTAAGATGTGTGGTCTTCAACCCACAGAATTTCCCAGCCATCATAAGATGTATGAACATCAATTCCTAGAATTCACCAGCCACTATGCTGGCTGGGAAATTCTACACATCGACATCCACACATTTGGAAGTTGCCAAGATTGAGAAACCTTGTTCTAACCCTTTATGCCATCTAGTCAGTCTAGACTTTAGGATCCTAAATTAAACCTCGAAAGGTTTAATGTACTTGACCCCCTTTTGTATTGTCTTAATTCACTGCCTTTATACAGGGTAGTTTATGCAGCATTACCAGCGTCTGCAGTGGGGCTGTTGACTTTACAAAAGCTGATGTCTGCGGTGAAATAGAATTTGCCATTAGATACAATTTCAAATTTGGCATTTTGGAAGTATGCATCAGTGCCTGCAAGAATTTGGCCTACGGAAAGGAAGAAAAAAAGAAATGCAATCCGTAAGTTTCTTTTGATTTACTTTTTAAAAAATCTAAGATGTATTTTAATTCTAAAGCAGTATTATTTGTGAAGATGCATCCCCAGGGAGAGGAGAGGAAAGCTATGTGATGAAATGTATATCATGATGCAAACTTTGTCTCTTATGAGGTATGTGATGCCACAATGCTCATTTCATTATTTTGATATCACCACCATTAGAAACAAACATCTACACATACATCTGTGAGTACGTGGATGGTATAGCATTTTTCAACCTAAAAAACAAAATCATTAATAAGATTAGTAATAGGCTTGCTTTGCTTTCTTCCACTTGGCTTTTATTCTCCTCTAAATCAAGTTTGTAAACTAATATAGGACTTGGGCTTCTTGTTAAAAGCATTTCCAAGCCCTCTGATCTGCAAATAGTAAAGGTGATGATTTTTCACAAAACAACAAACCCCATTCCTTTCCCCCCTCTTTTCCCTTAGTCTTTCCAGAAGCCCAGTTGACCCACACCTAAAAAATACTCCAAGTCTCTTTGAACTGGAGACCTATCACTCATGCAACCAACTGGAAAGGTGGCTGACGCCTCTCTTCCAAGCACCAACCACATTCCTCCAAACTGGCTTTGCCACACTTTTAGGAGTGTGATGATTTTGGATGGGTGTGAAACCCCCCCCCCCCCCCCCCCCCCCCCCGGGAAAATCTCTGCCATTAAATTGTTCTGCAATAAAGCTTTAACGACTGGACCACTCAGGGCATTTATTGCTAAGACAAATGAAAGCTTGGTTTAATTCATGGAACAATACTAATCATGCCGACAAATATTTCTGCAAACTCAAGGATAGATGAAATGCACTTTAACATGATCATGAAGAACAGCCCATAAGGAAGCAGATGTAGGAGATGACCAGATTGAGCCTGAGGGAGGGGTCAAATGTGTCATAAATCACAAATCCCTGCCCTTCTAAATTCAGCCCAACTTGAATGGCTCTCTTATCTCCCACACATTTCCCTTAACTGTTAGTTGGCCAAATTCTTGTAGAGAATAATCTTTCTACTCATTTGAACTGCTTGAATCTCCGGATATCCCGGCCACTTGACAGCTGCATTAGTGATGTTGAAAAAAATGGCTAAATGTGTCACTTCTTTGATGCCCTTCGCAACTGACAGGTGTTTTGTTTTCCTTGCTTTAGAAAGAACACACTGATAAGCTTGTTTCCCTCCCACCTTTGTTATACATTGAGTAGGCTCAATTTTCCATCATGCTTCCTTATTTTCAGCCCATGGATTTTGAGCTGTAGCAAATGTGAGTGTTGCGTAAGATCAGAGGGCCAATTTTTCATTCACAGGGGTTGAGTCAGGAGTCATAACAATACTTCATTCATAGCAGCAAGAGCCAATTTGGAGTAGTGGTTAAACCATAAAGCTAGAAACCAGGAGACCATAACCATGACCATGACCATAGTCCTGCCTTTAGGCACAAAGCCAGTTGGGTGACTTTGGGCCAGTCAATCTCTCTCAGCCCCAGGAAGCAGGCAAGGACAAACTGCTTCTGAAATTTTGCCAAGAAAACTGCAGGGATTTGTCCAGGCAATCACTAAAGGAGTCAACACTATTTGGAAGCACATATTTACAAACTTAGTAGCAAAAGTATAATAAAATATACTTTACTACATACTGTATTTTTCGTAGTATAAGACACTCCGGCGTATAAGACGCACATTAGTTTTTCGGGAGGAAAACAAAAAAAATGCTGCCCCTGCCTACCAGCATCGATCGGCATCCATCTGGCTAGTGTCCTTGCAGCAAACAGCAAACAGCCTGGTCAGCTTCAGCATGTTATCGCAGCCTGATTCAGCACAAGCAGCTGATTGGAGGTTGGATTGGCCTCCTGGAATACTGCCAATCAGCTGTTCCAGGCTGCGGGGATTGCCACAGCCCATCACCGCCTCCACATGTCGCATTTTTGGCCTCTGTGCATCAATGTTTTTGGCCTTCGCACACTCTGTTTTAGACCCATTCCAGGCTGCTGAAATCGCCAGAGCACATCACCGCCGATTGCCACCTCCACACATCGTGTTTTCGGCATCCGCACGCCCTGATTTTGGCCTCCATGCATTGCATTTTCAGCCAGTTCCAGGCAGTGGGCATTGCCGCCACTGCCGATCCTTGGTGCCTGGAACTGGCCAAAAATGCAATGCACAGAGGCCGAAAACGTGACGCATGGAGGCAGCGATTGGTGGCAATGTGCTGTGGCGATCCCCGCAGCCTGGAACAGGTCTAAAATGGAGGGTGCAGTGGCCGAAAACATGACACGTGGAGGCTGAAAATGACCAAAGGATGGGGGCCAGTGGGTGGGTGGGGCTTTGGCAACATTTGGTGTATAAGACGCACAATTTTCACCCACTTTTGGGGGGGGGAGTGAGTCTTATACTCTGAAAAGTATGGTATATATTTCAAAGAGATATATAGGTCCCCATATTATAAATCACAACTCTGTGCAGCTCACAAAGCACTAAAACATTAAAGCATTCCCAGGGCACCACTTTTTAACCATCAGCATTCTGCCTTGCTGGACTGCAATCTCATTGTTCCCCAATGTTTGTAGGAAGACCCAGCTCTTCAAGGCCTCCCAAGAAGGTTAAAAGAATGGAGGCCTGCCAGATTTCTGGGGAATGAATGTTCCACAGGCCAGGGACAACAATGGAAAAAGTGTGCTCCCTGGGTCAAATGTTGCTAGATGATAATATTAAGGGAAGGCGCTTGAGTGCATCCAGCCTGTCACATAATATAAAACCTAGCTACAAGTTCAAACCCAGATAGCTCTAGGGCGGTTTCATGATGTCTAAAATTTGTGTGTGTTGTCTAAACCCTAAAGATAACTATGGTATCTGTTTTGTTGATTTAATGCTCTTCAAATTCATGAAGTAATTACTAAGTTTGTTTCTCAGAATTGATGGATGGATTGATTAGATTGAAGAACACAGATTCTAGACTGACTAATTATGAGTCATCAGGAAAAAAATAAGAAAGACCAAAACAGAATTTAAAAATGAATAAGAAAACAGCCTTGTTACAAAAAGCAATCTGTTATCATTGTTGAACTTAATTCACGCTTAAAAAGTGGATATAACAAAGAATTCCATCACAGTGATCAACGTATACTAGACATTACTTGGCAATTTCAGTTCACAAGTATACTGAATTGAATTTGTATTCATTTAAGAAAAAGGATCTCATGCAACTTGAATCCTAAAATATCAAAATATGTATAAATATGTATGGGGATGGGTCAGATAATAAAATGTTCTTAAAATATACCTGATATATTAGCGTCTGGGACTTGAGTTATTCTTTTAAAAAACATGGCCAACATCCACACTTTACAAAGCAGCCTATGAAGTCCTTCCTTACTCTTCAAGTACAAAAAAAAATCAACACTGCATTTATGAAACTAAGAAAGAAACTTCATACAATTGATCACCAGAGGCATTAATTAACCACGCTCTCTTTATTTATGCCTTTATTTCCTCCCGGACTTCTTTTCACAAGTGTTAATTGTTGTCTCTATCTTTGATTGAAAGATATGTCAAGACTTACTTGCTGCCTGATAAATCTCCTCAGAATAAACGGAAGACTTCTGTCAAAAAGAATACACTGAATCCAACGTTCCAAGAAATATTAAAGGTATTCTAAGCAATTCTTGGTGATATTGTGAAGAGTCAAGGAAGAGCACAACATACTTTTTTTTAATTTATGAGCGAAAGTTCTTCCTATGAGTTTATAAAAACAGCTCCAATCAGAATAAAAGGGATAATTCAAAACAGTTCTATAAAATTACTGTGTAGATTAAAAAACAGGTATTACTGTATTAGGATTATTAGATCTGCAGTGAAATCCTAACAAACAAAAGATAACAGTAAAGGGAAAGTTCTGGGCTCCCATCTAGAGGAGTATTTGGATTTTTGAAGCCTATGTATGCCTTTTGAGATCTGTTTGCTATTGTGTAGGATTTTCGCAGCATTTCACATAGGATGATAGTAGTTGATGTCCAGAGATTAGTACTCTGAATGCAAAGAGTGGGAATAATTGTCACCACTGTGCTGATCTTGCTCATATTTGTGGCTTGATAGTAGAGAAAACTGCCCAGCCGGGAAAAATTCTTAAGGAAGAAATATCTAAGCATTTACACCAATGGCCTATTATGTACTTAGGAACATGACTTGTTGCATTTAATAGGATTTCTGAGTATAGGCTTGCAAGAATCTTGGATATTGATTCTTATATACAGATGGGAGTTTACCCTTTTTAGGGAGAAATGTTTGTTCGTTTAAAAGATGCTATCATGCTCTCTTTATACCCACTGAGTAACACTTGTAAGAAAGATTTTACTGAGTCACACTTTACAGGTAAACGTGTCTAAGCATTTTGGAGCTGAAGAAGAAATCTTGTGATACTCCAGTGTCTACACTCTCTAAAAGAGAAAGTGGTTTACTAAATTATAGAATATGCAACATTTGGAATGGTTTCATAATTGTTTTACAATTTGAGTAAATAGTTGCTCTTCTAATTGTTGATATGTATGAGGTTCAATAAAAAGCATTACATTTCTGGATCAGCTTTGATTGGGATTGGGCAGCCTGACTCTTCAAGAAAGAAGGACATTAGATGTAACTTGGTTGAGGATTAAAGGATTATTAGACCACCTCCCAATCAATTGTGGCATAACATCCTTAACCCTAATTTAGATAGTGGTCATTTATTGCAGGAGTCTGTGAAAGTGCTATATAATGATGCTGCACCTGTATAAATGGCATTTGTTAATCTCACACCAATCAATAACACCATTTATTTTTGTAGTACAATATTGAATATTCCCAACTGCAAACCCGACAGCTTCAGATATCTGTCTGGCACACTGGAATTTTCAGACATCCTGTATTCCTTGGAGAAGTGGTAATAGATTTTGATTCCTGGGATTTTGAAAACTACTCTACTCAGTCATTCAACTGGTACCAATTGAAAGCCAAAATGACATGACTGCATTCGATTTACTTATGTTTACTGTATTTATACATGTTTCCTGTTTCTTCAGATTTTAAGAATAAATGTGCCGTAAGCAGTTCATTTCTTGCAATGAAGTAGGTGTTAAGTATTTTCATACTAGAATCATAGAGTGCAATTAGAATGCACCCCAGAGATCATGTAATCCCTTCCCTGTGCCAGCTAGGTAAAATTGCTGAGCTTGACTCCTGGAAATTTCATAAACACATCCAAGTAGTTTACGTTTGCACATAGTACAAATATGCCCTGTTGTAACCTTCCAGGATTTTTTGACTTCTTGATCTAACATCTGACTCTTTCCTGACTCTTCCACAAATGTCCCATCCAAAGCATTAACCAGGTTTGTCCCTGCTTTTTTTTTTTTTTAAGGATTTATCTAGGTCAGCAGATCCCTGTTATTCCCCCTGGCATTTGGATCAGGTAGTTAGGTGAGCACTGTTGATGATAGGCCTTTATGTTTTGGGGTTGTCATTTTAACCAGAATATCATGGGTTATATTTTATTGTTGTGTTTTAATCTTTTTATGCTGACCAGAATTATTATTATTATTATTTTTTAAATTTGATTTATATGCCGCCCTTCTCCGAAGACTCAGGGCGGCTTACAATGTGCTCAGCAATAGCCTTCATCCTTTTGTATATTTATACAAAGTCAGCTTATTGCCCCCACAACTGGGTCCTCAATTTACCTACCTTAGAAAGGATGGAAGGCTGAGTCAACCTTGAGCCTTGGCGAGATTCGAACCCTGCAGTAATTGCAGGCAGCTGGTCTTAATAACCAGCTTAATAACAGGGTGCCTTAAACCTCTGTACTACCAAGGCTAATCCAGAGATTAGTACTCTGAATGCAAAGAGTGGGAATAATTGTCACCACTGTGCTGATCTTGCTCATTTGAATGGATGTAGTAAATTCCTGGCCTTAGATTTGATTCAAGGTCAATTCTTTTTTTTTTCTTTTTTTTTTTTTAGAGAAGATCATTATTCTAGCTACCCAGTACTTCTTAGTATAGTGGGTTACCCACTATGCTAGTGAATATCTGATGTTCAAATGGGTAGTGGAATAACATCAATGATTTCAGTGAATTTTCATGAAGTACTTTCAGTTTCTGCTTCTTGGTCTGTTAAGAATTACAACTCAGACCAACTGACCTATTGTCACAGTTCAACTAAGAACTAAGCATGAAAATGAGTAAAATGGTAATGGTGGTAGATGGAGAAAACTGCATTTCCTGATTGCGTGGAAAAAGCACAACAACATAACAATTATTTTGATATCAGTAGCAAGATATTCCCCAAGCCAGTTTCATTCTCAAAATATAACAAATGAAGATTTCCAGCTTGATCTGTATGAAAGTCAAACCACTTGTCTAATTTTGTACATATATAAATAAAAGATGGTGCTGGCTCCTGTATTCTTATTTTATGTGTTTACTAGAAGTAAGCTTATATGTATGTCAGCCAATTATATGAATGGTTCATCAGAAGGGGCTAGTGGCATTTATTATTATTTATTTTTACAATTTTATATCCTACATCTCATTAAAAGCAAAACTCTCAACTGCTGTTCTTGAATATTATTCTCTTGACATCTACCTCACCTGTAAAATCTACAAACTAAATTACTAACATCACCTTTCTTGTGTAACAGTTTTAAGCATAAAAGAAAATACAAAACACAATATATGCTAATTTTGCTACTAGTTTTCAGCCTGTTTATGTTATGCCCCCCCAAAATTACACACTTTGTAGAAGATTTCAGGTGGTGACAAAGCTTTCACATGGAACATCAGGAAACATGCTCATTGTTCCTTGTTTCTGAGGTTAAGAGTTCATACAATAGAATGACTCCAATATGACTGTAATTTTGTTGCTTGTATCTTTACGATTTATATTGATAGTTTTCTGATTGCTTATTTGTACCCTATGACGATCATTAAGTGTTGTACCTTATGATTCTTAATGAATGTATCTTTTATGTACAGAGAGCATATGCACCAAGACAAATTCCTTGTGTGTCCAATCACACTTGGCCAATAAAAAATTCTATTCTATTCTATTCTATTCTATTCTATTCTATTCTATTCTATTATATTCTATTCTATTCTATTCTATTCTATTCTATTCTATTCTATTCTACTCTACTCTACTCTACTCTACTCTACTCTACTCTACTCTAGAAGAGAATATAAGTAGCTCAGGATTGAACTGTGGAGTTTTTTGTGTTCACTGAGTTTGGTTGTTTGCTTGCAGATGTTTCATTACCATTCTAGGTAACATCATCAGTGCTAGGGAGTGTGGATAATGAAATTTCTGCAATCAAACGACCAGATTCAGAGAGCACCAAAAACTCCAAAGAGAATGACCATCTGATTGAATGCATTACAGGGGTGTCAAACTTGCGGCCCGTGGGTCAGATGCATCACACACTGGCCACCCCATCCCCAGTTTAGTGAAGGGGGGAAACAGTCACAATACATCATGTGGCGACTTGACACCGCAAGTTGGACACCCCTGATGTATTACATTAAAAACAAAACACACACATACACATATTCAGTGATGTAAGCTTCCACCTTCAATCCGAAATGATGTAGTCCAGAGTCATCCCACAATGTTTCAAAGAATTAGACACTCCTGTAATGTTAGCTATTAGCTAATACAATCCCTTAATGGAATAGTTTCTTCAGTGAGAACTTTTCAACTGACACATTTTCTATCACAGATATAAAGAATAAATATTTCTTTCTCATGCTCCATTCTGTTTTACTACTGCCTTTTCCATTTTGATTTTTTAAAGACCTTTTTCTGATTTTTCATGCTCACATTTTAAATTTATGATCTTTGAAACCCATCCATGTTAATTACTGATCTAGTTGTTGCATGTTGAAATTACTTTATTGCTCCCTATTGTAATAGCCTTCTTTCTAATAGCCTTCTGTTTAATAAACAACCCAAGGACCAAAGTAAGCAGATATGACACTAACAATGGTAAATGGAATAATTCTCAGCTTGATTTGTATCCTGTTAGTCTCTTTCTGTGGCAATCAATTCTTTCCTTACTGCCAAATGACTCATATACAGTTAAATGCCAACCCAATGCATAAGGTTGTACAGCTGAACCAAATAATTACTCCACATCCAGTTCAACTGTAAAATAGTTGTGTAGGTTTTATTTGATATTAAACAAAGAGGAAATAATGAATAATCCATCTAAGAATGAAAACTGGGATAAAGGTGGCTCAGGAATTGGCCAATATTTTTCCTTTCCTCATCTTGTTTGGTTTCTAACGAATTGTGTCTGTGTAGAATTCTTACAAACTCTGAAACCTGTCTGATTTAATATTTTTCTCAAAAGTTCTATCCAGTTGTGTGGAGATCACTCCATCCCAATCCTCCACCAAACACCAATTTCCTAAGAGAAACCTACTAGTCCCTCTGTAAATCCTTTATGAAACAGTACAGGTAGTCCTCTACTTATAACCATATTTGAGCCTCTGTATCCCCATTATTCCAGTAAAAAAAAATGATATAGCTTTAATAACCTTTTCTCAAATACCTTCACCAGAATCTTCTGGGATTGCTCTACATCTCATTCCTCTGAATTGCAATAGAGCCAAATTATTTATTGTCTTTCCAATTCTCTTTCCTTTAAATTTTGTCTTAGTTTCCAGAATCACCACTTTGTCATTAGTTTTTACATCCCCAGAAGCTTATTTTACACAGCTTACAACTTCATTTCATCTCCTTTTTCGTCTTTGCTCTCAATTTATTATCAAGGGATTCAGCTATCCTATAGCCTAATTTCTGAAACATTTTCTGAAGTAATTCTGGTGTAATTCCTCTCCCTGGTGATCCTTTCATCCCCTCTGCAGTTTTTAAATAGGTGCCATTGTAATATTGTAATCCAAAAGTGAAAATGTTGATTCACCAAATGGAATTGTCTTATCCTGCCACATAGAAAATTCTCTCTTTAGTTGTAAATTAATCCCATCTGAAAGTCTTTAAGAACTGAAGGCAAATTGCTTCAAGGAGATACTGTATTAATGGAAAGCATGGTTATATAAAAAGTATTTTATCAATATTCCAACATGTTTAAAGAAAGTGTCATCTCTCTGGAGAAAATAATGAGTATCTAAAAAAACAAAAATTACCAAGGATTATAGAGGAACAGAAGCAGATAATGGATCTATAAAAATAGAGAAAGTTTCTGAAACTATAAAAAAAGATTAAACCAGGCAAACCCGGCCAGATGGATTATCAGGTTCTTATTATGCCTGTTTTGAGGATGAACGTTTTACAATCTTTACAAAACAAATTAACCCTTTACAGGGAGGAAAGATGTCAAGAGTTCAAAACATAGAAGCTTTTTGATGACGTCAGAGTCAGTGGGCGGAGCCTCCCGCCGGTTTTACTACTGGTTTTATAGAACCGGTGCGAACCGGGGGCAACCCACCACTGGTATACAGTATCAGAGAATTTTAAAGATTAATAGATATCAATGTATATTTTCTGGTCAGAGAAAAGACAATGTTTCTTAATGATTTACTGACCCCTTTATGAACTTTTTGCATAAAACAGAAAAATGGTTTTTGATTTATGGTTTTATAATTCAACAGAATAGATTATAGAAAGAGAAGTCATTTGTAAACTTAAAAGTTAAATTTATAATTTTACTTATAACTTGCTGTAAAGATCAGAAGCCTTCTATTTTCCCCCCTTTATTAGACTTTTCTTTCCAATTCCTTTTGTTTGCGTTAGTTTTTTTATCTTCCTTTTTAAAACTTTGTATAAAATTATATAAAAATGAACTTTGAAACTTGTGATTATTTTATGAAACTTCTATTGGCCCTAATAAAAATATTTTCTGTATTGATTTTTATTTTTTTTTCTCATGGCCATGACTACTGCAGTTTTATGGGGAAGTTATATACTATTTTGTTTATAAAAATGCAGCTCAGGAGGAATCCTTGAACAGCTTATTTACTCAACTGACAGTTGTGTCTATCTCTTGTCCTTTCCATATGCCTATATTCCTTTACATAGAAAAGCAGCATTCTTCAGTCTTTTTATGAAGTGCTAAGTTATTTAGGCAAGTATTACATATATTCTAATTTCAGGATAGGAAAAATTAAAAGGAAAACTGACTAATACCAAATATACTCAGGGTATCCTATAGTAACTCTGAAAGATCTTTTACAAGAAGTATTAAATGTTTTTAACACTACTGTCTGCAAAAATATCTGGGAATCTGTAGCCATCTACAATTTTTTTTTTTTTACTAAGAATATGTTTGGGAACTATATTGAACCCAATATCATCTGGGAAATGAATAAAGATGCTACTAATTTTTACAGTATGCTACTTTCCCATTTAGCTAAATTACAAACATCATTTTAATAAAATGGAATGAATTAATAATATGGGTAATTTGGCAATTACAAAATACCACGTTGGGTTGTACACATCTTCAAGGTCCTGATAAAACAGGAGTGCAGAATGCTTTTGAACAAATGTGAATGCAGCTGTCCTGGTGAACAAATGAAGCTCAAAAAAGGTTGGGGCAACACCCACCCACCCCTTTTCTCATTATCAAGTAATTATTCTTGGTATTCACAAGGCTACAGACAATGCAAACTTACCTAGAACTGAGATGAAACAAAGATGTACGTTTACAGGACCACAAATC